GCAAATTCCGTCTATTTGTCTATGTCTTATGTTTCTGCTCCTAGGCATATTAACATATAAAAAGTAGACAATCATAGATTGGTAAGCCAGAGCAATAAAAATCGAATCGACAATAACAATGAACGGAATATGGATTTTATCAGTTGTCTTAATCATAGTTGCCTTTAATACAGGTTTGCTATATTATCATACAATTATTATATAGATTAAATATTTTATCTATGTAGTAACTGGCTGTAAACACACACATTCTGCAGCTCTCTCTCAAATTAAATCTGTTGGCATTGGAATTTCATCATCAGGTGGTTGTAGTAATCGTAATAATCCAAAATGTACATCACTTGAACAAGTACGATGCAATGCTATTCGTTGTTTGAAAACATTGAAAACATCTTCAGGATGTGGTATTACAGTTACTGGAGGCACAGTAAGATATATCAATAAATATTTTCTATTATTCGTATTTTTTTTGTTTTTGAATGCATAGGAAACTGGTCATGCTGGTGGAACATATTCACATTGGAATGGGTACAAAATTGATATTTCATTAAATTCATGTATCAATTCATACATTACAAAACAATTCGCTTACATAGGTAAACGAGGTGATGGTGCTGCTCAATACAAAGCATCAAGTGGCAATGTTTATGCTAAAGAAGGCAATCATTGGGATATTACATTCACTGCTTCATGTTAAATGATATTCTCAATAATTATCTACCTTATAATCTATATTCTTTGTTTTTTTCCTATTTCTTATCAATAAAAATAATTGTTGTTAATAACGAGGATCGAAATCAATTTAATTTATCGTCTGTATTTAATAACTTGTATTGACTATGAAAATGTTTTTAGACATCAAATACAGAATCAGTGTGGTTCCAAAAAAAGAGTGACAATAATTTCGATAATTCAAAGAAGATACTTTTGATCATCAACTAATTCAGATAGCTTCGATTACCAAAAGAAAAAAGACACGTTGATCACCAAAATTTCTCCAGCACTTTGAATTTTCTTTTCGAATAAAGAATATGGATGCACTATCTCCTTTGCATCGACACACAGCTTCATACTCACACGTACCGGCTTCTACACCCACATCCACACACCTTCTTCCACACCTCTTCGATGCTACATCATCACTAAGTCATTATTATCTTCATAGTTAAATGTTTTATTTTCTGTTCTTCATTTTATTTTAATAGACATTTTTCTTTTTCTTTCGAATAAATCGATCTGTAGAAAAAAAACAAAAACAAAACGATTGATCTTCTTATGTCAGCTACTTGATAGTCTCATCAGATAAATACAAAAATACACCGGATGCGAATATCACACACTATGCATTATGAAAGAATTTGTATTTGATAAACTATTAGACTTAATTGCATTTGACTTAACTTAAAGTTTTGTTTTATATGAAAAAAAACTAAATTTTGTAGTCTTCATTGTTATTTTAATTTCATTGATTTCAAAATTTCGTGTATTTTTCTCTGTTTTATGTTTCTACTCTGTTCTCCTAAATAATATCGAAAATAAATGTCAAAAATAATAATATTCCAAGTTAACATGTCGAAATGTGAAAATGTCGAAAATGGATATGAATGTGGGTGTGTGAGTGTTTAAATTGTGGATGAAGAAAATTCACTCATAACCAATCGCAATCGAGCCTGTACTCATGTCTGCATCCAAAGTCATATTCTCAGTGTTTTATTATTTAACATTAACATCATTCGACATTTTTTCTTCTTGTTTTCGACATTTTCTTTTTCAACATTTTTTACTTTCAACAGAATTCAGGTTTACTTCCTTCTCCTAGGTATATTAATATATAAAAAGTAGACAATCATAGATTGGTAAGTCAGAGCAATAAAAAGTGAATCGACAACAACAATGAACGGAATGTGGATTTTATCTGCTGTCTTAATCATAGTTGCCTTTAATACAGGTTTGTTATATTATCATACAATTATTATATATATTGAATATTTGATCTATTTAGCAACCGGCTGTAAACACACACATTCTGCAGCTCTCTCTGAAATTAGATCTGTTGGTATTGGAATTTCATCATCAGGTGGTTGTAGTAATCGTAATAATCGAAGATGTACATCACTTGAACAAGTACGATGCAATGCTATTCGTTGTTTGAAAACATTGAAAACATCTTCAGGATGTGGTATTATAGTTACTGGAGGCACAGTAAGATACATCAATAAATATTTTCTATTATTCATTTTTTTTTTCTTTTTTGAATACTTAGGAAATTGGTCATGCTGGTGGAACATATTCACATTGGAATGGATACAAAATTGATATTTCATTAAATTCATGTATCAATTCATACATTACAAAACAATTCACTTACATAGGTAAACGAGGTGATGGTGCTGCTCAATACAAAGCATCAAGTGGCAATGTTTATGCTAAAGAAGGCAATCATTGGGATATTACATTCACTGCGAACTGTTAATCGTTTGATTCTCAAATGATTTCAGACAGATTGAAACGAAGCTAACTGTTAGATTAGAGTATGTCTATAGATGGTTTGAGTACGAGTGTAAGTGAGTTTGGTGCGAATATTGTCTAACAGCACCTTTTCAACTATACCCATAACTCTACCTTTTTTTACCACACCTACACTTGTATCCTCACTTCAGCCTCCACACTCATAGCCACAGCCATACCTCACACTTATTTCGGTGAATTATATATATATTGTTTTTATAGATTATGTTGTGAAAAATAGTCATAAGGCATCTGTAGCTTTATTGCTACTATGGAACTCAAAGAGTTACATAATATTTTCAATAATTATTTATCTCATAATCTGTATGCTTTGTTTTTTTCGCATTTCCTATTAATAAAAACAGCTGTTGTCAATAAGGAAAATAGAAATTAATTTAATTTGTCAACTGTATATAATAAATTGTATTGACTATGAAAATGTTATAGACATCAAAAACGGAATCAGTTCAGCTCCAGAGAAAAACGAACCAATCCAATATCTATTACACATAACAATACATGAAAGTCTATATTGTTCAGAAAAATACATTATTCACAAAATTTTGATTGTCTACAAAATTAAATGTATATAGTTATGTTTTAATATGGTGTTGAGAGTTCTTCAGGTAGACGACGAAACTCAGAAGTCTTTTATCTTGAATTTTTAAATAACAATACGGTTTTTCATAAATTGATACAAATTATAAATTGCTTTTAGAAGTAAACATTATCAATAATTTTTTATTTTATAGAATAATTTTTCAGCTCAGTAGAATTTTTCGTTTAAAATAACTTAAGGTCAACGATTCGCATATCGTGTTTTTTTATTCTTTCATTTCTCTTTGTTTTGGTAGTAAGCAAATTCCGAAATAGCATCAGGCTAGTTTTTGAATTGATTGATTTTCGTTCTTTTATTAAAAAAGATTAGAGAAATGAGTGTCGTGTATCTCATAGGGTTTTTTTGGTAAGAGATTTTGAAAATTTGAAACCTTATATTTCAATAGCACGCATATATTCATTTAATCTTATTTTTTCAATTAAAAAATAAAGTAACATAAATCTTTTATTTTGGTTATTACTTAGGACGAAAATATAGAAAATGATCCTATATTTGTGACTTAATATTTATTTACTCTCTTCATAGCAATAAATATAAAAGGCTGGAGTTAACAGTATAAGCACATTGCATCAGAAACTCGATTGACGAAAAAAAACAATACAATGAATGGTATGTGGCTGTTATCTGTTGTCTTATTCGTAGCTGCGTTCAATGCAGGTTTGTTCTTTGTAACTAATATTTCAATGTTAATATAGCATTCAATTTATATAGTAATTGGTTGTAAACATGCGCATTCTGCAGCTCTTTCTCAAATTCAATCCGTTGGCATTGGAATTTCATCATCAGGTGGTTGTAGTAATCGTAATAATCCAAAATGTACATCACTCGAACAAGTGAATTGTAATGCTATTCGTTGTTTGAAAACATTGAAAACATCTTCAGGATGTGGTATTACAGTTACTGGAGGCACAGTAAGATATATCAATAAATATTTTCTATTATTTATTTATTTTCCTTTTTGAATACTTAGGAAACTGGTCATGCTGGTGGAACACATTCACATTGGAATGGATATAAAATTGATATTTCATTAAATTCATGTATCAACTCATATATTACAAACCAATTCGCTTATATTGGTCAACGAGGTGATGGTGCTGCTCAGTACAGAGCATCAAGTGGCAATGTTTATGCTAAAGAAGGCAATCATTGGGATATTACATTCACTGCTCAATGTTAAAAATTTTATTTTTTTTTGCTAACTAAAATGAAGTGTATTGTATTGAAGTTGTCCTCCTTATAATACATTCAATATAAATATCAAAAGAGATAATCGACAATAATAATTGCTAAAGAAGTCAATACAAAAAATTGATATTAAAATATTAAATATGAAATATTAGTCTTTTGAGGAGAAGAAATACTTCATGTTTATGTTAGTTGTATTTTTTTACAAATATCCTAGAACGACTATCTTTGCAAGCACATTTCTTACTTATGACCTAACAAAGAGGACTCAGTTCGCTTTAGAAATATTTGAGCCCTCCTAGAAAATTTGAAAGTGCTACGAGCGCTGATGTGAATCCCTTAGCACGTGTTTAGTAACCTTAAGAGTTTTTTCTGGTTACATCACTAATTCATAGAGAAGGTTACATGGTCTACGCATGGGCAACAAAATCTTATAGATGAAGCCATGTAACAAAAATATCGAACAACTATAGATGGCTTGTCAGCGCTTGCAATAAAAAAAAATAGAAGATGTAAATTATTTGCATGGTTGGGGTTTTAGATAAAGAAATGAAACTAATTCAATTTTTTTTTCATTATTTCTATTGATTAATTTTCATATTCATTTCAAACGAAACACATCAGAATCAGAGAAGAAAAAACTCTTTTGTTTATTACGACTGGAAAATATAGCCAATAGATCACAATGAACAACCAATTGATGTTCACGACCATTGGGTTCTTCTTAGTTATAGCTGCTGTTAATAGTTCTCACTTTTTGGGTGGTACGATCAGTTGGCATGTACAGAATTCGTCGACTTCTAGTACATGGGTAGCTATACTCATTACTCAAACATATTCTTGGACATATACTACTGGAAAATGTGAAAATGGTGCGATTGCTGCACATCAACCAGTTCCTAGTTCAGGAGGAACACTAACTTGTTCACCTAGTTGCCCAGCTGGCTTTGGAAGTGTATCTGCTACACCTTATTGTACTGACGTTTCTCCGCTCAATGGAATCGTAGTTGGACAACGTTCAGACATAGTTTTAATACCAGAAGGTAGTGATTTTTCGGTGATTTATGCGAGTGATGCATGGGGTAGTCTTACGTTAGGCGGATATGGTTGGTCTATTTCATCCCATATTAACCTAGTAAATAGATCCGATAATGGCATGTTAAATCATGCTCCAGTAGCCACTATCATGTCTCCAATCATTATTCCACAGAATAAAAAGACACTGATGACTATCTCGGTCAGCGATGCTGATGGAGATACCGTTCGATGCCGTTGGTCTACTAATTTGAATGGTGTTGATGAATGTGGTTCCATATGTCCACCAAGTTCATTACCAGCAAATACAGTGATATATCCGAATTGTACTATTGAAATTACTGGTACAACTGCTGGTACTCGATATGCTTTAGCAATTATGGTCAGTTGTGTTTTAGTTTGAAAAAAAAAGCTTAATATTTTATTTTTCTCTTCTCTAGGCAGAAGATTTCATCACTTCAGCTAGTACAACACCCCTAAGTACAGTACCTGTTCAATTTCTTGTTGAAATTATGACTTCACCATCATGTTCTATTCTACCTGAAATATTACATACTGGAAAATCATGTACACCAATTAAAGTGAATGAAACATTCATATCCCAAGTACTTGCTGTGAATCATTGTGGAGAAAATGTTACTATTATAGATATTGCTACATTATCTTTTTCTGGAATGACTCAAGGATCTCTTGTCAAATTAAGTTCTCTCATTTATTATAAAACTATAACTTGGACACCAACTATTGATCAACTTGGCTATCAAGTAATGTGTGCAATGGCTTTGAACAAGTTTGTAGAATAGATTGTGTCATATTTTTTAAGTTAAATCATCTTCTTTTCATATAGTCAATATGCACAATCATCACAATATTGTTTCACGTTTTTTGTCACAGAAAATGGTACGGATACATGTCCTGGAGTTATAGACAATACTATAACGACAATTCCATCAACAACAATATTGATGACAACAACAGAAACATCAACATCAACAACAGAAACATCAACATCAACAACAGAAACATCAACATCAACATCAACAACAGAAACATCAACGTCAACATCAACAACATCGACGGCAATCCAAATAGTAACATGTTTGTAAACAATGTTCGTTTTGATTCTAAATAAAATATATTATTCTTATATTTTTAGCTGACTGTATCAATTGGCCATTAATTGCAAGTCTTGGTGCTTTAGCTCTTCTCGCTACGGCCTGTAACTGCTGTTTTCTTTGCCATTGTTATACGTTTGTTAAGACCAATGACAAAGTTTACTAATCTCTTAATTTGTTTTTTAGAAGCTATAAAAATAAACGAAGAAGCAACTCTGATAAATATGATTCATCGAAAACATCTACGCTAAAGACTAGTTCTACTGTGGTACCTATTATTCCTATCTATTCTGTTGTGGAAGAAAATATCTATAAATCGAATATTTATGAAACATGTTTGAATGATACAAAAGGTAAAGAGTTGAGTTTTAGTATGTTTTATCCAATCCATTTTTCATTCAAAGTTGATAATCGTACACCACAAAAGTTTATATCCAAATTTCATTATCCAAACAGAAATCTATTTATAACGTCATCCAATCAATTAAGCACATCGGTCGAACCATTAAATATTGATCAAAATCTAGGAACGGTAAGTTCAAATAGTATTCTGCCAGAATAGATATCAGTAAAGTATACGTAAACATTATATCACGACTTGTTTAACGAATACTAAATCAAGCTTATTTATTCTAGTATGAAAACATAAATTCATCACCATTATTGAATCAAGTTAATACTGATGCTAATATTATCATACGATCATATGATGGTGTTCGTATCGGACGCATACGCAAAATAGACAGTAAAGTGACAAAAACTAATATTTTTAATCATTTAAAATCATGAACAGAAGAATTTTAAAAATCAGTTTATTTATGAAGACTTGTTTGCAACAAATGTGCTTATTGGATGTGTACTGAGATCATCATAATGAACTTATATAAATATTTCAAAAACTATGATGAAATCTTTTCTTTTTCGATATATTTTCGTATTCTTTCATATATATATATTGTTTAAATAAAAAGCTGATCAACTAGTTAAATATTCATCGTATTAAACAAGGATTTTCTTTATCAATTCAATATGAAATACCTTCGCTTCATCACAATCTATATATTTATAATATACAAACTAGTTGGGATTGAATTCTAGTTGTTTTTTCGATCCAATAAATTATTATTAGTTGTAGACTGATTATTAAAGAAACTCAAGTATTAGCATTAATTCACCATGAATTGCTCTTGAATAGATTCGTAGACATGTATAATTATGTAAATTTCTTTCAGCGAATATTTCTCCGTCGGTTTTTATAGGATTGCACTTTCTGATCAGTGTGACCAAACTTGCAATATATTTAAAAAACAATGCAAACTGTTCGATGCATTAGATTGATGTCATTCAGTTTCTCTGAATCAAAGGTTGAACTGTTCGGTTGATTAGAACGTCTGATTTTATATCCGTTTTGCTACATCATTTAAAAAAGGAAAAAAATTATTTTTATACTATACGTAACATGACATATCGAAACCAACTCATCTTGTTTGATTCTTTCATTGATAATAATATCGATTACTAATCAATGAGATTTTCTCAAAGAATAAAATATTTTCATCATATTGAATAGTATAAATATGATTTCATCAACTTACTTAGTTTCATCACTCTGTACTTATATAATTAAATAGTGAACAAAAAAAGTAAATACAGCCATACGAAATAAGATATTGAAACAGAAAACAAACAGTGTTGATGATGCATCACAACCTATCAATCGACATATAAACCTAGATCACCTCAGAATATTAGTACTAGTCATTTCTACTGTTATATTACCATCTGTACCATAACATGAATTTCAATTAACAGAAACAATTATTTTTTCTGTTTGTTTATTTATTTAATATTCAATAAATATGATGTGAATAATTACTCTCATAAACACTACAATAATAAGCAAAATGATATCAACCAGATGTCATTTATATATTAGTCCAAAGAACATATTGTTTTTGTATACATTCAATAAATAATTGATAAAAAAATTATCATAA